CTCCGGAGTAAAAGTTTCGTACCGTGGCGTTCCAAAACTTACTCGAGCGTACTCGATGACGTCAGAACTCGCGTTCCAGAAGCGGGTTGTTTACTCCGGAGTAATTACTCGCGCTACCCTCCTCGATCGGGGGGTAAAGACGGATCAAATCGAGTAAATACGTCACGTGATCTGTTCGTCGTCTGCTTTCTGCGCCGACAGCCGTCAAAGCTCGCTTGCTCCGTTGGTTTTGGTGGCGGACGTTCGAAATTACAAAGAATTAGGTGCAGCACGTCTGGTTATTGCGATTTGCTGTTGTCAACGCAGGAATTGACTGCATTACATCCAGACCGTCCACCTTCCCCGGGAACGTGTACTTGTTATTATCTGAGTGCGAGCGTAAACAGGAGCTTCTCCGCATCCTCGTCCTCGGCGTTGGGGGAATGCCGTAATCTCACGTTCAAGGCCGAAAATGTTTGAACTCGGTATATGATAATGTAAATATTTTTGTTTCCTCCAGAGTGTGCGTAATGAGAGGATAACGTTTGTAAAGCAGTGAAGGCTTCAAAAATTTCACTGTAATCACATTCGCGTCAAAGCGAACGTGAGTTTTATATCATTCTGGAGAAAACACCCTCGCGCTGTACCGCTACACCGTGTGGAATATATTTCTGCAAAACATAATCGGTGCAAATTACAATGCGTGGAATATATGCGTTTAGGGCACCGTGACTAAAATTGCAGCGATCGCGCTGATTAATAAAAACACAATTTTTTATGTCTAGCTGTAAGGAGTAAGTAATTTTGATCTCAACATACAGCTCAAAACGAAGGTGAGTAAAAGGAGCTGGTGGATCCACCTCAAAATACACCGCGTCGTCATTAACACCACCGTTCTTCGGGTGCTTTCTCCATGATCAAAAGGATCGTCTGCTATTTTCTGCCATCGCTGCTGTGTTTTCTTTTTGCCATCGCCCAAGACGAAGCCAATCCGCGTAGTATCCAGGTGATTATCCTGGCCGTTCCAAAATCGAGTCGCGGATCGTTTACTCGCGATGTCACATGGGCTATGTTCCAAATCTTACCCGAGTAACCTGACTCCTACGTCAGCGGGTAATACCACGTGACATCGCGAGTAAACGATCCGCGACTCGATTTTGGAACGGCCTGGATAATCACCTGGATACATAGAGATCCTGGATACTACGCGGATTGGCTTCGTCTTGGGCGACGGCAAAAAGAAAACACAGCAGCGATGGCAGAAAATAGCAGACGATCCTTTTGATCATGGAGGAAGAACCCGAAGAACGGTAATGTTAATGACTACGCGGTGTTTTTTGCGGTGGATCCACCAGCTCCTTTTACTCACCTTCGTTTTGAGCTGTATATTGAGATCAAAATTACTTACTCTTTACAGCTAGACATAAAAAAAATGTATTTTTATTAATCAGCGCGATCGCTGCAATTCTAGTCACGGTGCCCTAAACGCATATATACCATGCATTGTCATTTGCACCAATTATGTTTTGCAGAAATATATTCCACACGGTGTAGCGGTACAGCGCGAGGGTGCTTTCTCCAGAATGATATGAAACTCACGTTCGCTTTGACGCCAATGTGATTACAGTGAAATTTTCGAAGCCTTCGCTGCTTTACAAACGTTATCCTCTCATTTCCCACACTCTGGAGGGAACAAAAATACTACATTATCATATACCGAGTAAAAACATTTTCGGCCTTGAACGTGAGAATACGGCATTCCCCCAACGCCGAGGACGAGGATGCGGAGAAGCTCCTGTTTACGCTCGCACTCGGATAATAACAAGTACACGTTCCCGGAGAGGGTGGACGGTCTTGATGTAATGCAGTCAATTCCTGCGTTGACAACAGCAAATCGCAATAACCACACATTCTGCACCTAATTCTTTGTCATTTCGAACGTCCGCCACCAAAACCAACGTAGCAAGCGAGCTTTGACGGCTGTCGGCGCAGAAAGCAGACGACGAACAGATCACGTGACGTATTTACTCGATTTGATCCGACTTTACCCCCCGATCGAGGAGGGTAGCGCGAGTAGTTACTCCGGAGTAAACAACCCGCTTCTGGAACGCGAGTTCCGACGTCATCGAGTAAGCTCGAGTAAATTTTGGAACGCCACGGTACGAAACTTTTACTCCGGAGTCGGATCGAGTAAATTTTGGAACACAGCCATGGTATTACCCGCTGACGTAGGAGGCAGGTTACTCGGGTAAGATTTGGAACATAGCCGAAGTGTAGAATGCTGTAGACACGAGCGCCTCGCTCTGACCAGTGCCTTGGTCGCACGACGAGAGGCTTTTGAATCGTATTCTTTGATTTCTCTCATCAAGAACAAATATGAACGTTCGGTTTGTGGTCCTCAGAGCTGAAAGCGTACCGCTAGAGGTGTGAGTGTTCGATCTCCGCTCGAATACTCTTGTGCTCTGCACGCTAAGAGCAACATCGACGGTGTAGCATGTGCAGAAAAACGAAAGTTCGCGAACGCATAGCGGCAGCGGCAGCGGCAGCGAGAGGTTCGAGACATAAGACGGGTCACAATTCTCATGCATCATGCAAAAGACAGTCTGCAAGCGCGAGTCACCGCGATATCCGTGGTTCGAATGCCGCGTGCCCAAGTTTCTCCTCGATCTCGTTGCCATGCGGCATTCTAAGCACAGAACTTGTCGTGACTTGCGTTTGAATCTGCTTGCAGACTGTCTTTCATCTATCATACACCATTCCGATGCTTAAAAATCCACAGCTGAGCGTGCAATCACCACAGCCCAACACTCACCTTTTGTGGCTTTGGAAAGCGAGAAAATTGGACATTTACCCCCTTTTCTATAATCTCAACACTCCCCCCCCCCCCTCCCCTTGCGCGCTATACACACGAAAGCTGAAGATGACACCGGCTCGAAGCTCGTTTTTGCAACACCCTTCTAACGTTTACAAGTTATCAGCCCAGCGTGCGATCTCCTCAGCACAGCACGCGCACGTTCATCCCTCCGGAAAGCCAGCAAATCACGCGCCATACGCACGAACACTGAAAATGAAACCGGCCTGGGTTTACACGAATCCGATCATAGCGCATCGAATCAAACAGGGACAAATCCCACGCAACCTGTATTGATATTTCTTCTTCTTCTATCGATCTATACTGCCAATCAAAGAAGTTAAATTTCGATAGACCGATCTCACCAGCCAGTTCGACTACGCCACCGCTGCCGCATTGCATCGAGGGAACTTTAGTCTTTCTGCTCGTGCGACAACCTCGCTGTAGCTCTGCGCGTGCAGAGCACGAGCAGTCTCGTGCACTGCCGATTGCCTGCTGTGAACTAAAGTTATGGCAGCGTCGCGCATGCGCCGAACGCTTGGTGAGATTTGTCTATTCAATGCTCTACGGCCGCATCCATGTAAACTGAGCCTATAGACAACTGCAAGCAGGACATCTCGACGCTGCCATGTCTCTGCTCTTGTTGGCAAGTTCGTGCATCTACACGCTTCCGAGTGCTACATCACGCGCACGCTGCACATGCTTGAACGCATGGGATGCCAGCTTGAACACAGAAGGGCTTAGAGCGATCCCGTTCAACAGGCAAAAATGATACCCCCCCCCCCCCCTCCTTTGGCTGCCGACATGTACAATTTTAGGCACTGACACGTGACCACACCTAATCCTCAGGCTTTCACGCAAAACTGAGCCGATATTTGTATTGCAATCGCTGTAAACGACGTTCAACTAATTTTGAATACTGTTAGCCCCAGAGATCTGTGTCTAGCTCCGATAAAAACCCCAAATACAGCACCGCAGTTTACGGCATCTAGCGGAGGCATCGCGAAGTTGCCCGAGTTTTTGTCTTAAAAGCATATTTTGGACTTAAAATAAACGAAACAGAACTTATTTCGTGGGCACTCTTATTAAAGAGCAATGAGCAATTAACTGTGCGCGGCACTTTGTTAAAATGCAGACTTAAAACTATAAGGTCACAGGTCTAGTGGTCAAAGAGTGTGCAAGATGGGGGCGGCCGAGTGGGGTTGGTCACTTTCAGCTGCCATTTTATCGCTCTAAGCTCCTCTACCTCGTTGCTAACCACCCCATTTGTACGTTATGAGTTCCAAGTAACTGATTGCTTGTAATCAATTACGTATTGTTGTAACGTTTGAACGGCTTCAATAACTTTTTTCTGCAGTAACGTTCGCTGTAATTCAATTACTATTTAAAGTAGTCAATCATTTGTTAACCGAAAGAGCTAAAATTATCGAGTTGAGCTTTTTACCTTTTTACGTAAAATTCGCTCCGTCTACACGTACGTCACTCGTCTGTGTTGCATCAACCGTTGGACACATTTTTTTACCTTTAAACAAGTAAAAATAAGATACCAAGATACCAGAAGGATTAGAATGTCAACGCGCTCAGGGACGTTTTGACTGCCCAGCTGTCGAGAGTGCCTCATTTCCTGTAACATGAAAAGTAATAAACTACTTTCTGGTAATTTTACAATTGCTTTTGTGATACAGTAATTCAATACTGTAATAGTTACATTTTTCAATAAATTAATTGTAATTGTAATTGGTTACCTTTTTTCAGTAACGCGTACAAGACTGCTTTTTAATCACTGACAAAATGGGAAGGGCATAGCGTGCCGTTCGAACGCCCGACCACGCGCTCCATACGCTCCACCGAGCTTCGGTTGCGCGCGCATGTTCCAGAAGCACGAGACGCCCAAACATTGTCGAAGGTGGAAAGCTCACGCTGGAGGTGGAACAACTGAAGCTCCTTCCTGCCGTTCCCACCCTGAAGAACCCCTCTGGAAAAGGCGAGAGGCTCATCATTGTTCATGCGGGGAGCAAGGAGGGCTTTGTTGTGGGAGCGGCCGAGGTGTTCCGGGCCGAGAAAGGCGGCGGTGACTACCACCAAGAAATGAACGGGCAACGCTTTAAAGGGTGGTTTACCAAGAAGCTGCTGCCAAACCTCAAGCCCAGGAGTGTTGTAGTCATGGACAATGCCTCCGTATCACCCCGTAAAACTACACACCCTGCCAACCACCAGCACAAAGAAGCTCGAGATTCACCTGTGGCTCAGCAACAACGGGATTGCATCGGACATGTCCATGCTGAAGGTGGAGCTCCTGAACCTTGTCAGCAAAGCGAAGGCTGTAAGACCCGAGCTGGAAAAGTACCGCATTGATACGATATCGGAGCACCACGGCCACAGCGTCCTCTGTTTGCCTCCCTATCACTGTGAACTTAATCCAATTGAGTTGGTATGGAGCCAAGTGAAAGGAGAGGTTGCAAGCAAGAACCAATCGTTCAAGATTGCGGAGGTGGAGAAGCTGACTACGACTGCCTTGCAAAATGTGAGCCCCGAAACCTGGGAAAGCTATGTGAAACACGCCATTCAAGTTGAAGAACAGATGTGGGAAGCAGATGGCCTTGTTGACACTGTCCTCAACAGTATTGTAATCGACACAAATGGGGACTCTGACACTGATACATGTGATGAAGATGAGTAGATGGGTTGTGAACCACTTGAATGGTAGGAATGCTTGCGTTTCGATTCCCCTATGACGCAATGTGGCACCAGTAGCAGACTCACCATGTGGCAGCATTATCCAGGGCCGGCTGGTGCGTCTCTTGCTCACTCAAGAACCGAATCAAGCTGCAAATTCAGGATCAGGCAGCATTATCGACGACTGACCGGTGCGTCTCTTGCTCACTCAAGAACCGAATCAAGCAGCAGGTTCAGGATCAGGCAGCATTATCGACGACTGACCGGTGCGTCTCTTGCTCACTCAAGAACCGAATCAAGCAGCAGGTTCAGGATCAGGCAGCATTATCGACGACTGACCGGTGCGTCTCTTGCTCACTCAAGAACCGAATCAAGCAGTAGGTTCAGGATCAGGCAGCATTATCGACGACTGACTGGTGCGTCTCTTGCTCACTCAAGAACCGAATCAAGCTGCAGGTTCAGGATCAGGCAGCATTATCGTCGACTGGCTGGTGCGTCTCTTGCTCACTCAAGAACCAAATCAAGCAGCAGGTTCAGGATCAGGCAGCATTATCGACGACTGACCGGTGCGTCTCTTGCTCACTCAAGAACCGAATCAAGCAGCAGGTTCAGGATCAGGCAGCATTATCGACGACTGACCGGTGCGTCTCTTGCTCACTCAAGAACCGAATCAAGCAGTAGGTTCAGGATCAGGCAGCATTATCGACGACTGACTGGTGCGTCTCTTGCTCACTCAAGAACCGAATCAAGCTGCAGGTTCAGGATCAGGCAGCATTATCGTCGACTGGCTGGTGCGTCTCTTGCTCACTCAAGAACCAAATCAAGCTGCAAATTCAGGATCAGGCAGCATTATCGACGACTGACCGGTGCGTCTCTTGCTCACTCAAGAACCGAATCAAGCAGCAGGTTCAGGATCAGGCAGCACTATCGACGACTGGGTGGTGCTTTTCTTGCTCACTCAAGAACCGAATCAAGCAGCAGGTTCAGGATCAGGCAGCACTATCGACGACTGACTGGTGCGTCTCTTGCTCACTCAAGAACCGAATCAAGCAGCAGGTTCAGGATCAGGCAGCACTATCGACGACTGGGTGGTGCTTTTCTTGCTCACTCAAGAACCGAATCAAGCAGCAGGTTCAGGATCAGGCAGCACTATCGACGACTGACTGGTGCGTCTCTTGCTCACTCAAGAACCGAATCAAGCTGCAGGTTCAGGATCAGGCAGCATTATCCACGACTGACTGGTGCGTCTCTTGCTCACTCAAGAACCGAATTAAGCTGCAGGTTCAGGATCAGGCAGCATTATCGACGACTGGCTGGTGCGTCTCTTGCTCACTCAAGAACCAAATCAAGCTGCAGGTTCAGGATCAGGCAGCACTATCGACGACTGGGTGGTGCGTCTCTTGCTCACTCAAGAACCAAATCAAGCTACAGGTTCAGGATCAGGCAGCACTATCGACGACTGACTGGTGCGTCTCTTGCTCACTCAAGAACCGAATCAAGCTGCAAATTCAGGATCAGGCAGCATTATCGTCGACTGGCTGGTGCGTCTCTTGCTCACTCAAGAACCAAATCAAGCTACAGGTTCAGGATCAGGCAGCATTATCGACGACTGACTGGTGCGTCTCTTGCTCACTCAAGAACCGAATCAACCTGCAAATTCAGGATCAGGCAGCATTATCGTCGACTGGCTGGTGCGTCTCTTGCTCACTCAAGAACCAAATCAAGCTACAGGTTCAGGATCAGGCAGCACTATCGACGACTGACTGGTGCGTCTCTTGCTCACTCAAGAACCGAATCAAGCTGCAAATTCAGGATCAGGCAGCATTATCGACGACTGGCAGGTGCGTCTCTTGTTCACTCAAGAACCGAATCAAGCTACAGGTTCAGGATCAGGCAGCACTATCGACGACTGGGTGGTGCTTCTCTTGCTCACTCAAGAACCGAATCAAGCAGTAGGTTCAGGATCAGGCAGCATTATCGGCGACTGACAGGTGCGTCTCTTGCTCACTCAAGAACCGAATCAAGCTGCAGGTTCAGGATCAGGCAGCATGATCGTCGACTGGCTGGTGCGTCTCTTGCTCACTCAAGAACCAAATCAAGCTACAGGTTCAGGATCAGGCAGCACTATCGACGACTGGGTGGTGCTTTTCTTGCTCACTCAAGAACCGAATCAAGCAGCAGGTTCAGGATCAGGCAGCACTATTGACGACTGACTGGTGCGTCTCTTGCTCACTCAAGAACCGAATCAAGCTGCAGGTTCAGGATCAGGCAGCATTATCGACGACTGGGTGGTGCTTTTCTTGCTCACTCAAGAACCGAATCAAGCAGCAGGTTCAGGATCAGGCAGCATTATCGACGACTGACTGGTGCGTCTCTTGCTCACTCAAGAACCGAATCAAGCTGCAAATTCAGGATCAGGCAGCATTATCGACGACTGGCAGGTGCGTCTCTTGCTCACTCAAGAACCGAATCAAGCTACAGGTAGGTTCAGGATCAGGCAGCGTTATCGACGACTGACTGGTGCGTCTCTTGCTCACTCAAGAACCGAATCAAGCAGCAGGTTCAGGATCAGGCAGCATTATCGACGACTGGCTGGTGCGTCTTTTGCTCACTCAAGAACCGAATCAAGTTGCAGGTTCAGGATCAGGCGGCATTATCGACGACTGGGTAGTGCGTCTCTTGCTCACTCAAGAACCGAATCAAGCAGCAGGTTCAGGATCAGGCAGCATTATCGACAACTGGCTGGTGCGTCTCTTGCTCACTCAAGAACCGAATCAAGCAGCAGGTTCAGGATCAGGCAGCATTATCAACAACTGGCTGGTGCGTCTCTTGCTCACTCAAGAACCGAATCAAGCTGCAGGTTTAGGATCAGGTGGCATTATCTACGACTGATTCTTGCTCACACAAGAACCGAGTCGAGCAAGTCGCATTTGTTCCTTGCTGGTGCAATATGTGACACCATGTCTGGTATGGTAATAAAACCTGTTTTGTGAGATACATTGTAAATCTGTATTGTTTAATTCCGGCACCTAAAAATATGAAGTAAGCGTAGTATTAGAAAACTCTGAAGTAAGCAAGATTTCAGTCTTGTGAGTAAGAACATCTTAAAACTGAAACAAAGGATGCATGATAGCATGTGTCACAGTTAATGAGATTCCTGTTACAAAATCGGATGAATATAACGAAGTCAAATGCGCGTGGGAGGAATAATGACAGTTTATTGCTTTTTGTAGCTTGTAATGTTTTGTGAGCGCTGTGTGAAGGATTGTCCAGAAATCTTATCGATGGATGTTTTAAGCAGCGCTGAGCGCGTGCTTTGGAGAGAATATAAACACTCACGAGAAACAAGTTCGTGCGGGAAGTGCATGAATAAACATATGGCCTTTCGGGAACCCCCCTCAAGGTTCGGCGAGGCCAAAGCGAGGTGAAAATTGCGCGAGGACGGCATCCCCACATTCACGTGAAGTGGAGGTGTATCCCGTAGAGATGGCACACGTCGTCGGGCTGAAGCATGTTTCGCCAAGGGAAAACACTGTCATCTATCGACTCAAACACTGTGTTCAGCTCATGCAGCCTTTTTGTAATCGATCGGACAATGGGATACCAAATGTGACGGCGGCTTTAGGCTGGGAGAGACGGGAACTTTCACCCACGCTTTCCCCGCAGATTACGCTTGACTACTGACGCCGATTGTACCGGCGCAGCGGGAACACGCATGCCGTAGGCTATGGTTCAGGGAGATACGGAGGCTTCGTCTCCAGCAAATGATAAAATTAACCAAACGACCTACCGACGAGTAAGTATACATGCAAGGAAGGCTTTTAGTCCTAGCGGCAGCCGAGGCGCGTACGAGGCTGACGGCAATACGGACGAAGCACACGCATATGGATCAGCAGTCGAGATTCCTTGAGTGTCGTAACTATTCGTTCTGTGACAAGGAATTAGAGGAAAACTCATCAGGCAGCCGGAGCCGCCGCTTCGAGTTTTCGATAAGCAGACGAAAAACTCGCCTCCGCATGACGCGTCCTGGCGCACTGATACGTACGACGGAGCAAACATACCACGTGGTTTCAAACAGGCCCGTCATTGGACCCGGCGGCCTGTATCATTGGGCTTTAGTCCATCGTAGGATGAGACGGAATATAGCGGAAATATTGCGGAGGCTAGCGGAGGTGCGCTATCGCAGAAAAATAGCGAGGCGCGTAGCACGGCGTGCTAGCGTGGGGTCTTGCGAGAACGAGTCTTTGCGAGATAAGGGAGAGCCGGCGAGGGACGCAATTCATGATGGCCGCCACGCCGCGCCTGTCCGGTCAGTGCGCTTCGCGATCGTGGTTCTGAGCGGTGGAATATATCTTGCTGCTGCGAGAAGTAGCTGTGACAAAGCCGTACCACGACTGCAACAGGTAGCGATTTATGGCAAACATGCTAATATGGCCATAGAAAAAAAAAAAAAAAAGTTTCGCAGTCCGTGGTGCTGTGAGCGAAGGGTGCGGCCTCCTGCTCGGCCGCTTTGTCGTGTGGGCAAAACTGACCAAGAGAGCGAGCGAGCAGGCGGATACGAGTGATTTCCATGGCGTTTCATTTTCGGTGAACAATGACACGACAGAAGAGCTACGGTTTGTTGTCATTTATTTTTGAAGATTTTTCTCGGTGGCTTGGGGACTTTTTACTCATATCTGATTGGCTTAAACAGCTTGGCCGTCAGTTGTATTCAATTACAAACATAATAGTCTTTTACTTACAAAAGAAGCAACGATTAGCACGTTACTCAATAAATAGAAAAATATTCTATTAAGAAAACGACGTTAATAAAAAAATTGCGAAGAATTGCTTTACAAATCTGTTTTACGCGAGCCTTAGTGTCCGAAAGAGCCGCAGTGGCGTTGCGTTAGGCTCTCGTAACGCTGTAATCCGTTGCGGGTTGCGAACGTTCTACTAAAACGTAAAGTGGTGGTTTCGCTACGGTACATATATCGGAGGTCGTAGCGGCTAGCGGATAGCGCA